ATGGTGGTGTCACGAGATCAGAGAATATGGCTCTCAGACTCACTTGGTGCAGTCACAGCTCCAGTACTGGATATCAAAAGAGCAAAACATAAATTTTGTGGGCCAAGCCATTGAGATGTCACTGTTCACTTGTTACAGCATCAGAGCCTAGTCAAATTTAACCAATAACATCTTTACTCTGTGCTTGCTTCCTATTTTGTTCTTCTTTTTCAACACTGTTTTGGCTATTAGGCATCTCTTGCAATAGCTTATAAATTCTAAGATCAATTTTTCCACTTCTGGAAAAAAAAAAAGACAATTGGGGTTTTGATAAGGATTGCATTGAATCTGTATACTGCTTTGGGTAGCACTACTACCTTCATATGAAGGCTTCCGATCCATGAACATGAGATATCTTTCCATTTATTCAGGTCTTCTATAATTTCATTCAGCAATGGTTTATAGTTTTCAATGTATAAATCTTAAAAGCACCATGGCTAAATTTATTCCTAAGTACTTTTTTCTTTTTAAGGCTACTATAACTGGAATTATCGTAATTACTTTTTAGGGTTGTTGATTGCCAGAATATAGAAATATAACTGATTTTTGAGTATATGTTGTATCCTGCACCTTGGGCTCAGACTGCACTTTCTCAGTCTGTTCAACAGGTTATCTTTCCCTCTCAGCCCTCTCAGATGTGTGTGATCCCCAGGTTTCTCTCCTGGCTCTCTTCTCAGCTGACATCTTTGGATCTTCACCCCACGTTTCCCAGGATGAACAGGGCCCACCAGACAGTTACAGCCTCCATCACACTGCATGCCATTCAAGGGGGCAGCATGGGGCTGGGAGCAGATCCAGGTTTCCCTGCGTGCTCAACAGCAGAACCTCTCAGTTGAGATAGACTGAGCACTCTGATATGTTCTACCATGGCTCCTGGTAACTTTATTCACACTGAGGCTGATGACTCACCAATCCCAGCAAAACATCTCATTTAATTATTCATCCAGCAGCCCTTATATAAAATCTCACTGTGATGTGAGGCACTGAGCTAGAAGCCTGGATGCTCAGATCCCAAGCAGAGTCTCCGCCAGCAGACTTTGAGGTTTGAGGACTTCCTCCATGGGGATGGCCATCCATTCAAGGAATAAGATAAAGGTCTTTCTTTAAGCAGGCAAAACTAAAACTTGGATTCTAGCAATTTTCCAGTGAACATCAGATTTATTTGTTGTGAATTTTTGAAGGGAAAAATATAGATAAATGTAGCAAAAATTCACGTGGAAGTAGGGTACACCAAAAAGCAAATTGTTCTCTCACCTCAGACCCCCAGGCCTCCTAGCACCTTTCCAGCATAACCATTATTAAGTTTCTTCTGTTTTTTTCCTATTCATGTACACATATGCAAGAATAGAAATTCTTTTTTGTTTCTTTATTTTTATAGTATGAGTGTGCTATGTGTAGTGTTCTGTACATGGCTTTTTATACTTAAATATATCTAGAGATTCTTTTTCATATTCACCTACATAGATTACATTATCTATATTTTTCAAGTATTTACTGCTTCTTCAACATAAAGCCAAATGTGACAGATGACATTTGTGGTATATTTTGAAGAACCAGTAATGTATTCTTTTATTTCTTACAAAGGGTTTTATCTAGAATTGCACAAGATTTCTAATAAATACCCACATCCTTCCCACGAGAAATGGGGAATGAGAAAATGTCATAGGTTGCTAGGGACAGAATTATGTCACTCCACCCCAAGTTCATATACTGAGGCCCTAAACCTCAGTATATGAATATACTGAATGATATAGTAATATATGAATAACACAGTAATAGAGTATTACTGTATTTGGAGATAGAGCCTTCAGGAGGTAACTAAGGTTAAAGGTAATATTAAAAATGTGCCCTAAACTGATAGGATTAATGTCCTTAGAAGAGACAGAAGGTAGCTCTCTCTTCCTCTTTAGCATGTGAGGACACAGTGAGAAGACAGGCAGCCGCCTACAAGCCAGGAAGAGAGCTATCTCCAAAAACTGACACTGTTGGACCTCGATCTGGGATCTTTTAGCTTCCAGAACTATGATAAAATAAAGTTTTATTGTTTCAGCCCCCCAGTTTACGATATTCTGTTATGGCAGCCCAAGCAGACTAATACATACGTGATTATATAAAAAGAGGGACAAAAACTATCTTGTGATAGTTGAAAAACATAAACAAATACATGGTGCACTTATATGCATGATGCACTTATACGTACCTCCTTTGCACCAAGGCATCTGGCAAGAGATTGAGAACAGTGAAGACCAACCCTCCCCCAGGGGCAATAGGCCAGAGGGCTTGAGTTTGGCTCCATCTGGTAGTAAGGAGGTCTAGGTAGCTGTGGTGACCTGGCGGGGTTCTCGGCCCATAATTCAAGGCATTGTGGGGAGCTGGGTAGGGAGGGTTACAGTCTCTGCCACTGTGAGAGCGTCTATGTCCAATAAATTCCAGCATGTGACTGGCGATGGCAATGACACAAATCTAAGCAAATCTAAGCAGGTCAGCACAGGAGCCCAGGGGAAACCTATGGTGGTCATGGTGGTCCAGAGTCTCCAGGAAGCATGAGGAAATTGCTAAAGAGAAGATATTTCTGGGGGCACTAATAGGAGTACCCCAAAAATTCCAACTTAGTTTCTAATCAGCTTCGTTGGAAGGGGCATCTTTAAAGGTGGGCTGATTTGCAAGTAACAGAAAAAAATGGACCTAAGTGAAATTTAAGGAATATGTTGCTTCCAGAATCCCAAAAGGCCTAGAAGATGTTGGGTTTGTTTTCATGTTGTGGGTTTTGAGAGGGTCAATAGCTATTTCTTGACAGTGTTAGGGATAGAGATGCTCTCAGTTAACCAAGTAACTTTCAGGAAATCAACCAAGGTTGAGTGTTCAAATGAATCTCTCAAGAAGGATGTGATCAATGTAAATCATAATAGTTCTCCTAGAGTAAGTTGGATGAAGTAAAAATCTTGCCAGGCCAAGGCTGTTGATGTACATGGGATTGCCTGGTTTCCCTTTGGAGGTGAAGGAGAATTATAGCTGGGAAGCTGTTGAAATAAGCCCTGAACAGAACATACTGGCCAAATCTGTAATGGCCAGATATTTACCAGTCGCTGCTTGTAATTAGACAACATTGGATGGGAACACAGCATTTGGGTTGTAGTAACTCACTGTGAGATGCAATCCATTCTTTTCAAGTTAAACAAGAGGTGAAATTTAAGTAAAACAGAGAAGCAGTGGGAATAATTAATCTTTCCACTAAATAGATCATGCATAATGGATTTCAAATCTTGAATGCCTTGTTTTAATTAACATTTAGTCTTAGTATCTATTGTAACTGGAGATGGAGACACCTATGACATCCTATTTCGTGAACCCAATGTGTAAGTGCCAATGGCTTGATTTGATTTCAGTTTATTCCTCAGTGGGTCAGATTATCTATGCCTTCTCTTGGACATTTATGACAACATGTGCTATGACCATGGGGAATTTATGCAAAACCACAGTTCCAATGGTTAAGATGAGACATACCTCTTTGATGTCCATTTTATCTTCGGTAACAGACTAACATTATCGGGGGTACTATGTTTAAATTTAGTGGGATCCTACCAAATCAGCATCTAGCTTAGGGAGGCATAAAAGAGAATCTCCCCCTTTTAACTTTTTTGTTCTATCGATTCTTTTAGTAAATTGTAGATTTCCAATTAGGTCAAATTGTGGATCTCTGTTCTAGTTTTGTATCCTCCCCAGATTTCTTTCTTTTCGTTCTCTCTCTGTCTCCCTTTTTTTTTTTTAAGGACCCCCTTAAGGGTGAGCTGATTCGCAAGTAAAAGTATAAATGCTCAAAGTGCACGCTTGTTTGGGGCATCAGAGCCAGTTGGAAGCCAAAAACAAACAAACAAAAAACCAGAGGAGAAACACCCTGAAAATGGATGATGGTGAACATCACCAAAAGCCTGCTCAGAATGCCAAATGTTAGGACCAGGTTGTATTGCCACGGTGGATCCCCACTCAAAATTTGGTTCAGTGTCAGGCATCCAATGATGCTACACATAGCAGAGGAATATGAAAATGTTTACTACTCATATAATAAGATTTATGGGGAGGGAACGGTGGTTACCCGAGTAGATCCAAGGTAACTTGAGAGAGAAAGGAGACTAGCTTGGATTTTTGTTTGTTTGTTTGTTTTGGTGGTTACTGTGTGGGGCTGGTGTCAGGTTTCTGGCACTACTGGGGTCTCGCCTGTTTTGACATTGCCCCCTGCACCAAAGGAGGCGCTCTCAGGCTTTCGCATCATCTTTCCCAGGTGTGCGGAAAAGGAAGAGAGAACGGCGAGTCCTAAAGTCTGGATGGAGACATCACCTCTATCTTTCAAGGCTGTTTCCCATAATAAAAACATCCTGGGAAACAGTCTGGATCAGGCGGTTTTTCGATCCCAGCACAGGCAGAAAAGCAAGAGGCCCTCTCAGAATTGTCTCCGCACAGCTGTGTCTTCTCTCCCAACCTGGAACTTGTAATGTGTTTATGAACAGGTAAATGTGTGGTTATAGAAAATATGCAAATGTTCACACATTTATTGAAGCTGTGAAATAATAGTTTTACAGGCTCCAACGTTAGAACTCCAGAAACACTTTACAGTTAATCTCCGCGTCCCTGTTAGTTCCGACAACATCTCTACTGCTATGGAAACGACACCACCACCACCAAAATAGAAAACAAAATGAGAAACTTTCTTCATGGCTTTAAGTAAAATAACCATTAAAAAATAATGTCTCGGTGCTAGATGTATGGACAGGTGTAGATATTTTACCTAGTGTCCATAAATTTCAGGAAGAAAAGGAAGCAAAATCACTGATCATCCTTCGCATCCGAGACAGAAAGAGAGCTTTAGGACCTCAGAAAATTTATCGGTGAAAGAGTGGATGTGCGGGACCCGTCCTTCCAACTGCAGAAGGAAATCGCGCCCAACTCACAGTCCAGATACACACCGATCCCGCCAGCCTCCTCCTTCAGCTCCAGCGGAACGGCACCTCCTGGCCCGCAGGCCTCAAAATCCCCTCGGCGTAGCCCCGCAGTCCGGAAGCGGCTCTATCCCTCCGGGGCGGAGTCTGCGCAGGCGCCGGTCCGGGGCGGAGTCTGCGCAGGCGCCCACGGCCCACGCTCCTGGGGGCGGAGTCTGCGCAGGCGCCCACGGCCCACGCTCCTGGGGGTGGAGTCTGCGCAGGCGCCCACGGCCCACGCTCCTGGGGACGGAGTCTGCGCAGACGCCCACGGCCCACGCAGCCCTGCCCACCCGCCCATCCCAGTACCGCCGGCAGCTGGCGAAGGGCGGCAGGCGAAGACCCCTGGGCCTCGCGCAGCAGGCTCCGGGCAGAATCTCTACGCGCTTGCGGGGAAGAGCTGCCTGCTCCTCGCAGACGTCACCGACTTTCTGTCCTCGGACACGAGCAGGTTGGGATGCGCCGTCTCGGGGTCCAGGGTGTCACGTCCTGCCGGAACGTCTGAATGATTTTCTGCAGAGCCGAGTGCGGCGGGGCGAGGCTGCAGCCTTCCCGCCTCAGCTGCAAGGAGCAGACGTTGGGGCACCTCAGACGCTCGCACCTGCCCAGGACGCCCCCGATGCCGCTCAGCAGCCTGGCTCCAGGCAGCACGCTTCTCTCCGTCACCTCGTGCAGGAGGCCCCGCAGCTCGCAGATGTGGTCTGAGAAGGCGGTGATGTTGGCGCCCAGCTGCTTCCGGATGTGCTGCTCCTCCTGGACCAGCCTCGCCAGGACGGCCTCCTGCTCGCCGTCCACAGCCCGGCTCAGCTGCCGGAACTCCGAGGCCAGCTCCAGCCGCTGGCGCTGCACCAGCTCCCGCAGCTCCAGCAGCTTTCTGTCCTGCGCGGCCACCAGGCTGTGGACATCTGCCCCCCGCCTCTCCAAAGGCTCCACGTGAGCGCCGAGCCTCTGCCGGTGGTCAGCCGCGGCCTCGCCCACCGGCCTCACCAAGTGGCCCTGGTGCCCGGGCGCACAGGGGACAGACACAGCACCTCCAGATGTTCCTCGCAGAAGAGGCTCAGGACCTGGCGGTGCAGCTTGCACAGGCGCGGCTCCTCGCGCCTCCTCATGTCTCCTCCTGTTGCTCCGGCTTCTCTGGAGCAGCCTGCCCACCCGGATCATCCTACCCAGCTGGGCGTTGCTCCTTACCTGCCGCTCCTGGCACGGGTGGCGGCACGTGGGGCAGGGGAACCTGCCCTCCAGGTGAGCCCAGGACCGCTGGATGCAGGAGCGGCCGGAGTTGTTGTCACACACAGTGGTGCCGGGGTCTCTCAGGCCCTCCAGAAAGACCGGGCATCTGGCTTCCGCCTGGACTCCATCCAGGGCCGCGGCCACCGCCATCGGGGCAGCACTGAGGTGGGTTTCTTAGGAGGCCGGGCTGCAGGGTCTGTGTGCTGAGCCGCAGGCGCACCCTCGGGTTTCCCTATTTGCCGTCCTTGACGCTGAAATTTTACAGGCCCTGCAGGGCTCGGTGTGCAGCCAGGTGCCCAGAGGGGCTTCCTTCACTCCTGCAGCCGATCACAGAGCATCTGGGCGACTTGCTGCCCTCAGCAGCTGGAGGTTGTGAAGCCAAGCTCAGCAACTCTCTGGGTCAGAAAGCAGACACAACTCCAAAGTTCCTTTTCCTTCCTGGGGCTAAGAAAATAATCCTTCCTGTGAAAAGGAAGTGCCCTGTGTCTTGAGAGACCCTAACTGCCACAGTGAGGCACCCTCTGATCCTTCCCTCCACCACGACCCACCTGCACCCACACGGACCACAGGTTGATGGGACCAGGTCCTGGGGCTGTGGAAAGTGTGTGGGCTTGGGGACAAGAGCCAGGCCCTGGGTGAGAGTCCCCACTCAGTCACCTGCTATCTGGGGACCCGGGGAGAGTTGCATAACATCCCAATTCTAAGAGAATCTGGTTAAAGGATAAAACTTCCAGCTTCAATCACTTCAATCTTCTCAAAAATCTAATAAAAGAATGGTATTTCTTAAACCACAGATATTTCTGACAGCGTTGAACTCATACATCAACATTTACTTTTCACTTAAGCTTCTCAACTACAGGATGTATCAAACTGTGTGCGTAAGTGGATGGGATTTGGGCTAGATGGAATTTGCTCTGGGCCCCCTCCCAAAACTGACTTTTCACATCAAGCGCAGAATGAGATTGAGATCAGTATTTCAATTTGAGTTGAAGCGGAGAAACACGCACATATACAAACGTACTCCCTGACCACAGTGGTGGGCTACCAACTAGTGAGGATTTGTGAGGTCAAGACCCTGAGCAGAAGGTGTGGTGCTTCCCCTTAGGGGCAGCTGCTCATTCTCAAGGAGGCTGAGAGGCCGACTTTCAGGGATGAGAACTTAGAGTTCAGGGCACCCACAGAGGATGTGTCCTGGTAGACACTCCAGACTTTTCACTGGGATCAGCGAAGTGATCCCAAAGCTGGAAGTGAGCGTCTTTGGGCGGAGCGGGGAGGGGTGTCTATTGATTTGATCGTCTCCAGCCCTGATAGGTTTAAGACAATCTGTGAGTCCAGAGACCCCAGAATGAATTTGAAAGTGTTAAGATACAGCGTCTTGGAGATATGTGGTGTCACTGGATCACCTATACACAGCTGGTGAGAGGTAAGTGGGCGTAACCACTTTTTTTTTTTTTTTTTTTTTTGCGGTACGCGGGCCTCTCACTGCTGTGGCCTCTCCCGCCGCGGAGCACAGGCTCCGGATGCGCAGGCCCAGTGGCCACGGCTCACGGGCCCAGCCGCTCCGCGGCACGCGGGATCCTCCCGGACTGGGGCATGAACCTGCGCCCCCTGCACCGGCAGGCGGACCCCAACCACTGCGCCACCAGGGAAGCCCCGGGCATAACCACTTTTGAAAACTATTTTGCATTATTAACTATCTTAGAACATACACTCAGGTATGTCACTCAGGCTGTGTAACCATCCAGAGTATAAACTAGAAGGGCTACAAACTGCACAAAACTACATTTACGGAGGATCAATGGAACACTTTCCACAAGTCCAAACTGGAAATAACCCCAAAGTTCCACAACATTAGAATGCGTAAATAAATTACCACCTATTCATACAGTGGGACATTAATCGGCATTGGGTGGGCACTAAGTACGCTTCACCCCAGACCTGAAATGAATCTCAAAGATGTAACATGGTGTGACAGAAAGCCCGGCGCAAAAGAATACACACCGCGTGTGCAGGAAAAATGACTTCATGGTGCTGGACCTCAGCATTAGTGCTTGTATTGGGGGAGGAGGGATGGGCTAGTGATTGGGAGGAAGGTGAGAAGGCTCTAGGGGTGCTGGTAACAATGTATTTCTTCATCTGGGTGGTGGTGTAGGGTTACAGGCTTAAGCAGTTTTCTATGTGCACGTCTAGAAAAGTGGCCATAAAACCACAGACTATAGACTATAGAAATAAATTATAGAGAAATACGTTCAATCTGTTTGGCCGAGGAGGCAAAAGTTTTGAAAATCAGAAAACTACATGATTGCTTCAAGCATTTAATTAGCTTATATCAAGCAATTCAAGCAAACATAATGAACAATCAGGATACAAAAATGGTTGAAGAAGATTAACAGATGGCCAATTATGAAGTCAAAGCAGATCATTTTTAATAATTCAGAGACATCAGTGTGAAAAACAAGAGAGATTGTTCTTTGCGCCTCGTCTGATTGGCAGAGCTCTGTAAAAGACCACAGACAGGGTAGTGGAGCCAGAAGGAGAGGAAGCCTGGTCGGGTGAGCGAGCAGAGACTCTGAGCCAGGCTGCCTGGGCTGCAATCCTGGCTCTTCCATCTATGGCCCTGTGACCTGTGACAGCTTAGAAAGGATTTACAGAGGAGGGGAAATGTGCCTAGCAGCAGGCCTGGCACATGGAGGTTCTCATGGTACTCAACTAACAAAATCCCAGACTTGCCATGCTCAGGATGCTGTGGTCGAAGAACACACCTTCTGTTGTCCCCACTGACAACCTGGCCCAAGCCCCTACATGTTCCCCTGGGTGCCTGCACCAGCCTCCGACCACCCAGCCCACCACCACCCGCTGGGCCCCTCCAGTCTCCTCCCACCCACGCCAGGATCTAATCACACCCTCTCCTGCAGGACTGCTGTTCCCTGCACAGGAACTGCGGCCTTCCCTCAGCTCCAGCTTCCCCCAGCACCAAGCCCTCTGCAGTGCTCAACCTCCTGCCCTCTTCCTGCAGGTTCAGCCCCCTCTGGCCCCAGCGCCTTTGTACAAGCAGAGCCCTCACTTGTCTCCTGTGCTGCCCAGCTCAGAGCTCACTTGTCCCTTCCTCCAGATCCCAGCCCGACTCCATGAGGGCTCACCTCCCCCAACAAAATGTGCCAGAGCTATAAGGACAGGATCAGGAACTCTTTCCACTCTGGCTGTTGTAAATTTACCCAGGTTTTGGAAATCTGCCTCCCACACGTGACTGTCAACTCCGTGTTATCCCGCCATGATGGCATCTCCAAGTATCACCTCAGTCCCCGGCTAAGCTGTCGAATGACTAAAACCCTGGCCAGGTTTCTGGTCTCCCTTAGGAGCTGAGTGACTTTGGGCAACTTACTTGTACTCTCTGTGTCTGCAAGCAGGCAGTGATGAAGTTGAGGAAGATCAAGTTCATACTGGGCCCCACAGCTCTAATCCCTCTCCTCCCCACCTACACACTGGTGATGGATTTAAAGTCATTTAAAAATCAAAGTGGACCGAGGTGGCCGTTGTGTCGTTGTGGTTTCAAATACCTCCCCTCATCACTGAGAACTTGAGTTTTCGGAAATGGTTCAAACTCAAGGACACCACCAGCCGTTTTCAAGAGTGTCTGCTAACAGCTCTAGTGGCAACCTTACGGTTTCACTATCACAGCCGCCCCCCAACTATGTAATCGTCTCGACCCCAGCCAACCCTTTCTTGCTTAACAAGCACCTTTACTTCTTGCCAGCTCCAATCCTAATTCTTGATAACCAATTTATGTAATCTTGAAAGTTTTCTGCCGTTATAAGCCTTCCCCATTTTGTAGCCTGGGGATGACAATTCAAGTGCATCTTCAATCTGGGTCTCCAGGGCTGCAGTTCTAACAACCCCCAAATAAACATCTCTAATTCAATCAGGTCTGGGTTTCTGAAATTTTGTTTGACACCACAAACTGCCTCTGACAGAGACATCCCGGAGGGGGATCCCACAGTGGCTTCAGACCAGCTTCTTCCGTCACAAAAGATATCAGTCTCTCCATCCTTGGGCCCCGGACAGGGCGGGAACTGGGCATCGGCGCTCTCAGCAACATTTAGGTGACCTAGGACAAGGCCCGCTGAGGGGCTGGGAAACCTAATAAAGGGCGTGTTCTTACATAAGCCAAACCCAAGTCTGGATTCCCTTGGAGGTGGATCCCTAGGCTTGGCCCAGCGCAGGGGATCAGGAAGCCCCCAGTTGTGCCCCATCCTGGATCCCCACTTATCTGGGGCTGCGGTTCTTTCCTGGTTCACAGGGCCGGGTCCTCAGGCTGCTCTCCCACCAGATAGTGTGGTCCAGGATGTGACCCGGGCTTATATACACCCCCAGGAGGAGGATGGAGCTATTGGGGTCCCACCCTAAAGACCGTGGCTCCTCCCCCTGGGGAGTGGGGTCCTGTGAGGGAAGAGGGTGTTCAGACCTGCTGCCCAGAAGGGAGCAGAGGGCAGGGGAGGGGAAAGGAGGGGAGGGTCTACTCTGATTAGGTCAGGCACGGTTGGCCCTGGTGATAACAAGGTCTCCGCTGCACCTCTGTGATCTCCTCATGATCCTCTCAAGGCCACTTAACCCCATCTTCACTGATAAGGGACTGAAATCTGAAAGGCTTCTTCCCTGGGGAGGTGTGATGCCAGACCCTCGGGCTCCCCTGCTCTTCCCAGGCACAATCTCTGGCACCCCGGGCATGTGGAGGGGCCTGCACCCCTCAGGTTCAGGGGTCTGGTTGAGTCCATCCTATGTTCCCTGCGCCCACAGATCAAGTGGGTCCCTAGTGCAGGGTTGGAGGGCTCCTCATCCCAGAGGGGGCAGTGTACACAGACCAGCTCTGGACCTGCCTGACACACAGAAGAAAAACTGTGCAAAGTCCCAGCCCAGGAGACAGGTGTGCTGATGGTGGTTCAGGTTTCCAGCCTGAGAAGAGCGTCCAGTATGGTGTAGAATGAAGCAGGAACCCCAGGGCCAGGGGGCAGCGGTGAACACGGTACAGAGTCCTCTGAGCGTCTGCTGACTCTGCTTCCTGCTTGTGCCCCACGGCTTCAGTGCAGCAGCGATTAGAATGACCTCACCCTTTCCAGTCCTCAGCCCTACCCCATCTTTAGGCAGGTCACAGCCCTGGCCAAGACCAAGTTACCAGCATGTTTTTTCTCACATCAGTAATATTCTCCTTTGCATAAATAAAGTCTGCACTGGAGAGTGGAAGTGGCAGTGATTGGAAGAGAAATGATGATTTTACTTTTTATCTGTTGTGATGAGAGCTAAGGGCTTAGTCACACCTTACAGGAAAGGAGAGAGAGTGTTGGCCTTACAAGTGCACCAAGCAGACAAAATCAATTAACAAGGCGTGCACTGGACCATGGTTTTGACGTATAAGATTTGCATATTCTAGAATTAATTAGCTAGTTAATGAGTATATTTATTGAGCGCTTATTAATTAATAACTAGGACCATTATAGGAGATGGGAATACGGTAATGAACAACAGCAATTCCCCACAATGTCTTGTCTCAGCATC